GTTCCGTGAGGGTGACCGTGTCCGACCAAGAAGCTCCCTTGGCTTTTAGTGCTGTGTTCTTGAGGTGAAGCAGATTCCGTGTCATGAATCGCGCTGGGAACACTGCCATAGATGTTGCCATTGCTTTCCCGACGAACGAAGAAAGTTCCCTTAAAGAAGTGGCGCCTTTTCGTAGTAGCTTTCCTGCCTCGCGCCGTATGTCCCTGACTTTGGATTTCGGAACTGTGACAGTCATATCCCGGGAGTTGATGGTGAAGCCTAAATGGTCTATTTTCTGTGACGGGATCAACGTAGACTTGGCTTCCTTGATGAGGAATCCTAGCGCTGCCAACTTGTCTTGCACTAGTTGAGTGAACTGGATTGATTGTTCTTTGTTCTTGGCTAGGATTATCAAATCGTCTAGGTACGCTGATATGCGAATTCCTCGTCGTCGTGCCCATTTGAGGAAAGGCTTGAGAACTTTGGTGAACACTAGCGGAGAGAGTGAGAGCCCGAAGGGAAGTGTACGGAATTGAAATTTCCGGTTCTTCCATTGGAACTGTAGATAATGACGATAATCTGGATGGATTAGTACGTGAAGAAATGCGTCTGATAGGTCGATGCTTGTCATAAAGTCGTTCTTCTGTAACATTGCGCATACTGTCGTCATCGTCTCCATTTTGAAGTGCCGCTCTGAGACGTAGGCATTCAACGGTCTTAGATTTAAGACTGGACGAATGTCCCCGGTTTTCTTGGGGATAGTGAATATTCGGCTCTTGAAACCAGGGCCCGAAGCGACCTCTATTGCTCTTTTGGCTAAGAGTGCGATTACCTCTTGATCGATCGCCTTCTCTTCCTCCGCTGCTACTCGAGCTTGGTACGCTGTTGAACTGGATATCGGTGGCCGTTTGTGGAAAGGGATTTTGAATCCCTCGGAGACGACCGACTTGACCCATTCGTTGTCGGTTATGAGAGCCCATGCTTCTCTGTAAATCTGTAAACGGCCACCTACTGCTGGCCTGCAGTCTGTGCCTGACTTGTCTGGTTGGATTGAGGGGTTTGGTAGCCTCGGCCTCGGCCTCGTCCCCCTCTCCTTGGATTTTGGCCTCGCCCAAAAAAAGAACCATTGTCATTTTGATAGTGGGCGGTCTGAGTTTGACCCGATGGATGAGATTGGCTAGAATTAGAAGTGGGTCTGTAAGTATTTGCGCTAAAGAAACTCCGGTTTTGAGTCCTCCTGTTGTATGCCCGTTGTCTTGTCGGGTTAGTAGCCTGACGAACACTCTTTGCCAATTTGCTGGCTTCAATGAAGTCTGAAGTAGAGACAATTGGTGGATCAACTGTGTCCTTGGTGACTGAAATTTTGTGCGCTTGGTAAACAAGGTCCTCTCTGTCGCTTGACATTTGCTGTGCCAGGTGTGCAATATGTTCACGCATTGTCTGTGCGAGCTGTAAACACGCTTGTGCGACCGCAGGGTCAACTTCGTAGGAAAACATTTCCGTGGCAAATTGATCAAGTGGTCTTGTAAGGTTTGCCAATCGTGATTGATAGCGTGAGATTGTTTTGTCCATGGAACTGTGGTGAGAGGAAGAGTCGGGCCAGTCAATGAGTGCCGATTTGGGTGCAGAATAGGTTTGGGTTGTGTTTTTGGCAAAAGACTGCATCTCTTTAGCCATTTCTGTTGCATATGCAAGATCGTCTGCACGGTTTCCAGATTTATGTTTGAAAAAATCTTTCCCGTCCATTGCTGGGTAGTGGACGAGAATGGAGTCGTCAGGTGTAATTTCGTAAGCTGGTTCTTTTGGAACCAAGTAGGGGTTCGATCGACTGGATTCAGAGCTAGTCGAGAGAGCCTCAAGCCGGCTGGTGAGTGTAGCCAGCTGGCTCTGGAGAGAGTGTATAATTGGATCAGAAGTGTCATACTCGCTCATTTGGAACTTCAATACGCTGGATGTGTTCCTGAGCGAGAAAAAAGAAGATAGAGAGTAGATCAGAGCGAACGCTAGATTTTATTTATTTTATTTTTAGTTTTTTCTCGGTCAGAAGGAATAAAAAGAGGTCACACATATGGACCATGGCTACGAGGATAATAGAAAGCACAGAGGATGGATTTGATCTGCGCATGGGTAAATTTGTCTGGTTTATAGTCCGAGAGATAAACTAAATACATAATTAGGATTTTTCCAAGGCTTCTGAATGCGAGACAGTATAGAGTCAGCATCAAGGCATAACTCCGTCACTAGGGTGCTATCGTCGTCTATGGTGCGAGAGCTCTGCATGTACAAGTCAAAGAGTCTCAGAGCCTGTGCAGGCGAGAGTGCACTGGGTGATGGAGAATTGGTGTTGCCAAACATGGTTTATGGCTTTTTACATGCATGTATGCTCTAAAGATTCGAGATTCGAACTAACAAAAAAGAAATGCAATTGGAATTGTCTGATGTGCTGAAGGATGAAGGTTGAAGGATAAAAAGATGAAAGATGGAAGGCAAATGGCTAAGGATGAAAGATAACGATAGATTAGACGCATGCATCTCCCCTGCCTTTGTGGACCTCTCGTTTTGGTAATCAATTCATTCAACTAAAATTCAATTGCTACATTTAATATTTGTTACTTTTTCTTTTTTACAATGCACGCACCAACTAATTGCCTTTTGTCATTTCTGCTCGGTTCGTTTTTTTTTTTTTTTTTTTTTCCTGTTTTTGATTGAGATGGTTAAAGATGAATGTACTCGTTTGGCATAGGAATGATGGATGATTCGTGAGTTCATGCTTGTATGTCCGGGCTGTGCAGGAATGTTTACATGCATGAGAAAGAGATTTAATAGTGACAAATGAGGTAGAACACATCTTTGACTTACACAAAGTGATATCTCCACTCGATCATACCACTTTACTGGTGAAGCTCGACCTCCAGCTACTTATTGATGTCACCCTTGAAGACTGAATGATTATTCTCATCCATCAACACCCAGCATTTGGAGATAATATATTTAGGTGATATTGCTGTCAGTATTTGCATGGACATTTCTTTTATATGACGCACCTAGAGGAAATGGCTTTTTTTATTATATTTTTTTTGTTGCCATACCAATAGCCGTATAACGACGTATGGATGTGCAGAAGCAAAATATTTGATACATGCGATACACCCTCACACCTCAATCTTAGCAAAGCGCTTGAAAATGTCAGCACCACGGACTCTTCGTCGCAAAAAAAAAAAAAAAATTAGAAAGGTCAACAGTATGCTATGCTATTCGCTAGATCACCAGGGTATCAAATAGGCCAGTATTTATCATTACCGCTTGCCCTCAATGAAGCATTGCAGCAGCAGCTCCGGAACAAAGGGATGGTTCGTGGTACAGTCTCTTCGCAATACAGAGACATTTTATTTGCTCTTCTCCTCCATAGGGCCATTCAAAAGCAACGAGGCTCAATAAATAATCAACAACTACAAGATTATGTACTTGTTTTGATAAGCGCGCCTTATTGAATAAAGATTTAGCAAACAGATGTCTTGGCCATCATTTCAAGGCATCTTCCCTGACTGGAGACAGCCAGGTATGCAATGGTTGACACGGTGTATACTCCATTGGAAACAAGAAAAGAGAGTTCAGTTTGCAAAGAGGCAGAGAAGTTTATAAATAAATAAACAGGCAACTTTATTTAAGCACGAGCCACACTTGGCTGTGCTAACCAAACGCACTCTGGTCTACGAAGGATGACCTATTCACATTGTCATAGGTACCATGGACATCTGTCCCATCCACACCACTCTTTTGGCTCGAGAAGTAGATGTAGATTAGGTTTGCAGGATAGAGAGATCTTTTTATACTTTATTTCTCAATGAAGAAAGGTAATACATACGGACATGGCACCTATAACAATGTTAATAGGTCGTCCTTCACCGTAGATCATTCAGTAGACCATTACTCTCTCTATCGTTAACTTCTCGCAAACGTATTGATGTTGCATAAATACATCGGTGCAGCTTCCATGGCGCTGCCAAGTAGTATAAATAGCCAACACCATCATAGCAACTTCGAGCAGACGTTAGAGAATAAATGATTGCAGGACCCAAGACTGACCTTCATTTGTTATTACAGTACCTACACTTCTATTCTTAGGATCCAAACTGCATGGGGTGAGTGCTGGCATTCTGATTTTCATTCTCTTTGAAAATAAGGAAATATAATAATGAGAGTAAGCTGAACAAAGGACATTAAAAGGTAAAAAAATGCAAAGTTAATGGATCCCCGTTTCTATTGTGTTCAGACGGAGGTTGCAGCTTAAAAAGAAAGTAAACATTGTTTAATCCTGCCATGGAAGATTCTGAATCCTGCATGGGGGGCAAAAGTTCAAGCCACTAATTATTTTTGACTTATCACTCCACCATCAGCTACTATTTTATGTATATTACGATCCTTGTATACGCGCTTCCCTTCCTCTTTCTCCATCACAAAAGCGCCTTCTCTGAATTGATTGCGTTTTGACTGAAGGTAATTGTGGTCATTTTAATAATTGATTGATTAATTAGAGCATGCTGACTTGTTTTAAGCGTAATGCATCAATCATTTTTTTTTAATAATGTCTTGCATTTTCACACCTGTTACACTGCGCAGCTTTTTCACTTTTTATGCAGCCATTTTCTCTGTACAACTTTTTTCTCTGCCCTATTACGTCTTCTCTTTCTCTTGTTTTACTTCTTTCTTTTGTCCCTATGTAGCACCTTACTTTTCTCACTCTCCCTTAATTTCGTCCATCTATCTCTTGCGCCTTCTTTATCTCGCTCTCCCACGCTCCATCTTTCTTTCTCTCTCTACCTCTCTCATTCTCTCTCTTCGTACACTGTCGTTCAACTTATAAAGAAGAAAGGTAATGTTTAAGAACTTTTTTTTCTTCATGTAGTAACATCTAGTCAATAGCAGCCTTGCCCCTTTAGCTCTCAGCGGGGCACAGAGTAATTTCTTCCTTGCCGGGCGGGGGGACGTTGTGACGAAGGTGGTCTTCAGAATGGCTTTCCATGACATGTGCTGATTGTGGCGTCATGTACCCTTTCTGTCGATACTATATGAAAAGTGCGCTGAAACATCTAGTCAATAGCAGCCTTGCCTCTTTAGCTCTCAGCGGGGCACAGAGTAATTTCTTCCTTGCCGGGCGGGGGGACGCTGTGACGAAGATGGTCTTCAGAATGGCTTTCCATGACATGTGCTGATTGTGGCGTCATGTACCCTTTCTGTTGATATTGCGATTGTAGAGTTCCAAAGCTGTAACGCTGATATTAGAGTGCTTGCTAATTTCACTTCTTTACTCCGTCCGTGCTGTTCGCTCTTTTGGTTAACCAAAAGAGCGAACAGCATCTCTGGCGCTAGGAAATCGAACAATATATTAGTTGGGCACGTGATAACAAGAGTAGACACTATATCTTCAGAAGAGATGATTGATGAATCAGAGGACAGTGAATCTGAAGTATATACAGCAGTCGAAGCCACTATCCCAGGACCACCAGCAGTAACAGCAGACGTGGAAGACGGTAATAACTTGGATTTTATTATGTCCAGAATTATCTCTCCAAGCTTTACTTAATGCTTTTTTTTCCTCACTAACTCTATTGCTCCATTTACCAATTACTCATAAATGATTCTAAACCTGCCTTTTAGCCTTGTTGCAATCTCCATTGAAGCGGAGTAAGACTAATATTTTAAAGACAGGGTAGTTTAATTTGATTAAATGTTAGCAAGTTATGTATAAATCCTATGCAAAAAAAAAAAAAAAAAAAAAATCTGTGGTGTGAATGACTTAGGAAAATAAAAAGAGAGTTGTCTGTTGCGCCTGGACGTAGAAAAAAAAATTATTTTTCAAGTTTGTTCCCAGCCTGAGAGAGAAGTGTCTACAAGAGCAAGCTACCTTTGGCTTTCAGCGCGTGCATGTGCACACGAACTTCGTTCTCAGACTGGTGACGATACCAAGGGAGTTCAATTTATGGCACTTTTCATTAGTGAAAAACATCTTCACCTTTAACATTCCGTCTCTTTGTATCAGCGTTGCTGATAGTGTTAAAATTCCATTAAGGTCCACGCTTTAGCCACACCACTTATAATTTCCAGATAGATAGTGGGTATCTTACTGAACACTCAATTTAATATTCAGATAGAAATTGTGGAAAAAGTGGTTGCTACACTCACTAGTCAAGGATCATGGTATTAAATTTTGATGACAAACGAGCTTTAATTCATTACATTATGCCTTGATAGCCTATACAGAGTGGCTGTAATATGTCTAAAACATATCACGCTTGGTTGGGCTGATCTTTGATGGCCTGCCTTTGTCATTCCGCTCCACCTGCTCATCATCAAGCTCAATTCTGGGAGGCGTGCGGGGAGTAGGGTCCGTATCAATTGCATCAAGGAATGTCTATGTAAATTTATAGCTACATGTTAATATAGGTAATAGAGATCTCATTGCTATTAAGGAGCAATATATACCTGTAATGTTTTAAGTAATCGTAGACAGGATATCACCCGACTGGTATCCGATTGATCGCAAGGGAGGTGAGCACTACATGACTTAGCCCAGTGGTATATGCCATGATGATAGGACATAGTGTACAACGTCATTTGGTGACCTATTTATAATCGCTGTTAGTATATACAAATAGGTTATTTTGTGAAAATTAATATTAAAGAAACTCACCAAATATCTGAATGCCTGCAGCTCTCCTGATCTCCTGGCCAGCTCTGAGGGAACTGTCGATCCCATCCTTGCAGAAATTCGCCAATTTCCACAAGTCTTGGAGGTATAGCCTCACGTTGTGCTCACCTCTTGGAGGCTTTACTTCCACAAATGCCAATTCGACTTCACGCTTGCGGACAATGGCATCAGGCTTGAGCCCATAACCTCGGCGTTCTTTCGACCCATCTGCCTCTTTGCCTGCCCAGTCTAATCTGTAGATTGATCTGGACTTTGATGGGAATTGATGAGTGAATATAGGGTCAACGACCCAGTGGCAGTATGTATCTTCAATATCCTCATCAAAAGGCCGGTAGGTTACAGGAAGCTTTAAGGCTCTGCAATGAAATATAGAAAAGTATTAATATGCATTTTAATAGTGGACATTGCCTATCATTGTCGCCAATACTAAAGATGTAACTTACAGTATCTCGAAAAGAAGCGTTATAGGCCGAAGTCCCTCCTCTAACACTTCAGTTCCTAGAAGCTGCATCCCTTGTGCTAACTTCTCAGATAAGGTAATGCAGTGGTCTACGGTACTATTGGGCAAAGTGGACTGCGGCCACGCATTGTCGCTCAATATTTGCGCAAAGGTCTCATCAGGCATATTCCTTAGCTGGACATCCAAGTCCCAGATGTAATTCATTGAACTAAATATAAACATTTGAACAAGGAATTAAACATATAAGGCCTTGAAACATAAAACAGCCATTTACCAACTGCATCTTTTAGACTTACAGGAACTTATACAATTTGCCATAGGTGGCTTTAGCCTCAAGATTGTTCACCACAGTCAACGATTCAACCTGAAGTTCCATGAACATCTTCCCAATGTTCACTTCGCCCATGTGATACCGATAGTTGATGAAGGAGGTAGGATCAATTTTGAATGTTTGTATTTTCGTAGCTTCCTCCTCCAATGGCATGGTAGATTTTCGACCCCTATCAGTACGCTTGCTAATATTAGGATACTCAAGAAGTATTCTTGTTGAGCTCGCCTCTAAATGTAAAGCCCAGTGTAAGTAAGTTGCTAACATTTAATCAAATTAAACTACCCTGTCTTTAAAATATTAGTCTTACTCCGCTTCAATGGAGATTGCAACAAGGCTAAAAGGCAGGTTTAGAATCATTTATGAGTAATTGGTAAATGGAGCAATAGAGTTAGTGAGGAAAAAAAAGCATTAAGTAAAGCTTGGAGAATAATTCTGGACATAATAAAATCCAAGTTATTACCGTCTTCCACGTCTGCTGTTACTGCTGGTGGTTCTGGGATAGTGGCTTCGACTGCTGTATATACTTCAGATTCACTGTCCTCTGAATCATCAATCATCTCTTCTGAAGATATAATGTCTGGCTTCAACTCGGATGGGTACCTTGCATGTCCAAAGCTGACTTCCCGAAGGCCGGAATCCTGGATTATAGCCCCTGCCTTCTTAGCAGCTGTTGCACTCTTGACAATCAGCATACGGTCAGCAATTTTCATATCTCGGATCGCCCAAAACCTCTCCTCGCACCGTTCCTTAAAGGCCATATATGCACCATGAAGTCTCTTTCGTCGCATATGATGGATGTTTGTGGAGGTTATGAGTGACAAATATGCCTCGTTAGCGCTTTCCTTATTTGTGAAGTTGAATTTTTTTACAAAGCTCGGCAAAGAGACATGCTCTTTGTCGCTCCTGTTATCAAGTGCCCAACTAATATACTGTTCGGTCTCCATGAGGAAAAGAAACTAGCAAAAAACAGGGTAGGGAAATGGAATTAGCGAGTACTATGGTATCAACGCTGCGACTTTAGGACTCTAGAAACGCAATATCAGCAGATATTTGCATGGAGCCATATCTAGCACATGTCATGAGAAGCCATCTGCAGACCATCTTTATCGCAACCGCCTGCCTGGTGGGGAATAAATCACTCTGTGCCTCCATTGAGAGCTAAATGGGCCAGGCTGCTATTGACTAGATGTTACTACATGAAGAAAAAAAGTTCTTAAACATTACCTTTCTTCGTTATAAGTTGAAGGAGGGTGTACGAAGAGAGAGAATACGGGAGGTAGATAAAGAAAGGAAGATGGAGCGTGAGAGTGCGAGATAAGGAAGGCGCAAGAGATAGAGGGATGAAATTAAGGAAGAGTGAGAAAAGTAAGGTGTATGTAGGGAGAACGCGAAAGGCATAGAGTGAAAGAAAGAGATAGTAAGAGAAATAGGAGGATGGAGAGAGAGATAGAATAAGCTGGAAGAAAAAATGTAGTCAGCGAGAGAAGTTAGAAGAGCAGGATAAAAGGAGGCAGAATGAAAAGTTGGCACAGCAAAATGGCTAAAATATGAAGAGATATCTCTTATATTATATTAAAATGTTACAAAAAGTTATGTAATAGCCAAAAGGGGACTTCAGGGACATGATGAGGCGCAAATAAATGAAATGAACATGTATCGTGAAGCTCCTTTGATTGTTCCTCCAAAAAAGTGATAGGATATATACCCGTTGTAAAGTTTATCTCTATTGGCTCTTTCAGTTTACCTATCTTTGACCTGAGCTTAAGTGAATATAATCTGGTAAATCACCATTGCCTGCAACCAGCCTTAGTCGCAACTAAGTGTTGATTTTTCTGTTGGAGACAGGTCTCAAGGGCGACACCTCCTTTCTAACACTTTCTGGAAAGTGCCTTCATAGAACTTTATTCATTTTTTATTTCCTCCACAATGGCCTATATAATCCCCATTTTTGCCGTAGAGCTGCCTCGTTCCCTTAGGCGTGTTTTTATACAGCGCTTGAACTTCTTCTTCAACCCTGGGCCGTATGTCTAGGAAGCGGTTCCATAGCTCTTCGAGTGATTTCGGCATTTTGGCTAGCCTTCTAATTCCCTCTTGACATGCGCCCATATGTTTTCTATTACTTTGAGGTCAGGAGGGTTTGCAGGTCATTCAATGCCCTTATATTGGACCTCTTCATATATCTCACGGCGGTGTGAGCTGTATGAATTCTGGCGTTGTCTTGTTGAAAAATGAGCTTATCTGGATTTATGCGATACCAATCCCGCCTTTGGAATACATAGCCTTTTAGAAAACCGACATACGCTACTGATCCTAGTCCTACTTGAAACCAGTGTGCATTGCTTAGGCCATAAAAGGTCACACAACCCCAGATCATAATCTTGCCGCCGTCACTGTTCCTTCTTTGGGCCTAGCGTGCCAATATCCCCTTGCTTCTAGGCCCCTTGGAGTAGTATTGTCTTCAGAAGGGCTTTACCATGCTTATAATGACCTCATTAGGGAACATTATGTTCTTCAAGGAAAGGTAAGTAGTTGAGAACAAGAATAGTAATGAGCTTAGGGACTACAATAAGTTCAGGAATAGTTTTATTATAAATTGATTTTGTTCGTCTGGAGCGGAGACGTGTTCCAAGAACTCTAAATAAAGCTTACTCAAAATACTTCCTAATGACTTTTACCATATGCGGAACTCCAAGACAAAAGTCACGAATTGAAAGCTCATGCAATTGGTGCCACATTGGCTCTTAGGAAAGGTGTCTCTGTGGATGATGCCATGGTTCAGAACGATTTGGCTTCAAATACCGTCGCGAACGAATTCCATCGTCTATCACGAGCAACGACTCAGAATTTCACTCAGGTGATCCTTGACAACTCTAGAGCCACATCCACTGTCTTCTCCGAGGGATGAACAATGGATAGCGTAGTCGAACACTAGTGAAGGCTAAAGCCTATTGTTTGACAAGGAGGAGACAATGGATGTCCCACCTGCAGCCGCCCTGGTTTCTTTGGTAATATTGGAACATCCAAGAGAGCTCCACAGTTTGTGTAGTTATCACGAACAGCAAGCAATGTTGAAGTCATGAATTGATGAATGACTTTTTATCTGATTCAGAGTCGGAAAAGACCCGCGTTTTCCCCCTGTTTCCCTCATTCTCTCATGTATAGTTTTGTCTGTCAAGTCAAGTCGCGTCTTCTAGGTTTCTAGCTCCGTGAATAGCTCCAAGAATTCTAGAAGAGCTATAGACCAATGACCATGGCTCATGGTGCCAAGGAACCTTGTATCTCGCGGTTATAAGAATAAGTACGCAAGCGGTACGCACCATATGCACTGACAGGACTGAAAAATTTTAGACAGATAGGTAGAAGCGAGGAAGTGAGAATAAGATGGGAACACACATCACATCTATGGAGTATTTACTCAAATTCATATCAAGGTATAACTACAAGTTTGTTTACGGGCACCATAAGTAGAGTAACCATGGGGGAGGGCGTGTTTTTATGATATACAACTGTTAGTATATATCATCTTGTGTACAACATAAATATCGTTTAAAATATAACATGAAATGGATGAAGCAACAGAAGCAAATTGAGACAGGTGAAATATGCCAGGATCATAATAAGTAACGAGAACGAAAGAAAGATCTATTTATTATGATCCAGGGATCTTCGTTAAATAAAAAGGGTAAAAATCTTAGCTGTAGTAAAAACCCATGTAAATGACTGCTAATCGCAACAACAGGCAAATTTACATTCAGGAACATGTCCAAATTTTAAATTCTTACACATGTGTGATTTCAGATCAACTATTGGTTGAATTTAGTGACGCGTTTGGACACCATTGCAATTCGCACTGTTAAATGATCGACAAAGCTCAGATCATGCGAAAAAAAAGATTTGTAATGTCAGGAACGAATCAGGATGAAGGAGAGTTGTAATGAGAAAAGCTTCTCATTCCTCCATTCCTAAAACATCGTTAACACTCAAACTATTCTCAACGCAAAACCAAGCTTTCAAATCTCATTTTCTCACACATAACATTGCTTGCATTATGTCTTCCTCCAACAACACTGCATCTCCTCCCACCAGCAAAGTTGCTGGCAAAAAACGCGCTCGTGAGGAATTGGAAGAAGATAAGGGCGCGAGTCGCTAGACCTCGCCTTCACCAGACGGTCCACCTGCTGACCCAGCGTTCCACTACGTGCCATGGGAGCGTCCCATCAGAGAAGTGAGCAAGATCAAGAAGCTTTTTCTGGAGAGCGAACTCTGCAATTTCGTGGCGCGGACAGAGAGTGCGCTCTATCAGGATGGAGATGAGGTGCGACCTCGCAAGTACCTCTTTCTGGAGGGAGGACGACAACTCGATTTATCCAGGAAACCCATGAAACGTAATGATTTTGATATATTCTGGGTACATGAGCCATCTTTGTTCAAGCAACTGAGGCGTCGTAACCTGATGCTAGTCAAGGAAGTAGACAGGCAACGGTTAGAAGTGTCAGTCAAGGCCGCAACATGTAAAGGTTGCTGTCACTTCAGTAGCAACTGAAACTGAAGTCATGACGGAAGCGTCGAGCAGCCGTCAAGAGTCAACGCTAGAGATGTCAGAGAGACAGCTTCAAAAGGTACTCAAAGAACTGGAGGCAGTCGATATTGACTCACCTCGTAGTAAGCTCTTGCAAGAGAAAGCGACGCTGTTGTTAGATGTACAGCCAAGTTACTAAGTTTTTTTTTTTTTATTATTATTATTATTTTTTGAGATAGTGCAGGATAAATTTCTTTTAACGCATGTCAAAATCTCAATCATTCATTGATCCGAACATCACGCCATTTGGAATGAATCTCAATGGCGAAAGGGAATGAAGAAAAAAGATGTGGATGGATGGATGATTGTGGACATTGATTGATTGCCATTTCGTTTTCATTCCTCCATTCTTCATTTCACTATTCTCACAGTTTCGACCAAACTTCAAAACACTTCATATCTCCATTAACAACTCCATTATATAATGTTTCCAAAATTCACCTGCCAGTTCCCCCGTTGAACTTCACTACTCTTTCACCAGTGGGGAGAATAGCTTTGAGCATGATGATAGAGATCCCGCCTTCATTCAAGCTGATCGTCATGCCCTTTGGAGAGAAAGGGGAGATCCACGTTATCGTGATCGTTCTCCTTCTTTGGAAATTGGCGGATCTATTCCACCCAAGTCATCCATTGGGACTTTACTCGGTGTACGAAAGCGAAGTGAGGATGATGATGGGGAGTCAGAGCGTGCGCAACATCATCAGCGCCGTAAAGTTTTGGAGGATGTGGACATGATGGTAATAGACATCATAAACCTTTACAAGATGGTGCGCGAGCAAGGGGAGATAATTGCAGATCTGACCAAGCAAGTAGAGGATTTGCAAAAGCAAGTAGGGCGTTCGAGGAAATATAATCTGCGTCCTACTCCCAGTAGAAATAGCAACCGCAAAGGAAAGAAATAAAGCTTTGCGATTGTTGATTTGTATATGTGTGTGTGTTTTTTTTTTTTTTTTTTTTTTTTTTTGCCATCAATTGTTAATTATGAACACATGTGAATCTCTGAATGCACTAAGCTCTATGTGATTCCTTCGAGATACAACACCTTCAGGTGCTTATATTAGCGTCGCTTTCAGCTATGCTTATGCACGTCTTCTTTACCACATCAGGTCATAGGATTTAAACACTGATAGATCTGTTATTTTGGATATTATTATTGATATTATTGTGAATGGTGCGTTCGTCATAAGTCTAACAACGCGTGCGTCGACGCTTGGGTCGGGAGGTATTTCTGACAGATGTCTGTGACACTCTTTGCTGAGAGTCAGCGGATCCTAATGGAGAGCTGTGAGACCGTTTAGAGCCAACAGTAACGGCCTTTGAAGCATGATGATTAGCCCAGTATTCAGTAATGCATTGTCGTTCAATGAAGTGTTCCTCAGGTTCTCATGTATTGACATCATGTGAATAGTTTTTCCATTTGACAAGTTATTCATACTCGTGAGGGGACGAGGTGCTCTGCCGATGATCAACTATTGCCTCTACTTCATATGTGTCAGTATCTTCAAATTCATCAAGTACGAGTTTCAACTGAGATGGAGCATAGTGTCTAGCCAGAATTGTGCCTTACCATCTTTAAGCATATAGGAACCATAAGAACTCTTGTTCACGACAGTGTAAGGTCCCTCATAGCGTGGAGTAAGTTAATTACTACGGACCGGGTCGAAAGCCATGACCATAGCTCCGTCAGGGAATTCATTCAGTAGCACAGTGGCATTAAAACGCCCTATCATTTTTTGCTGAGTTCGCTTTGACTTGCGTGGAGAAGACTATTTCTGTCATGTATTTGAGTCTTTCTAGTAACTCTTCTTGACTCATTAGTTTGCCATCCTCATCAGTATAGTTGCTGAAGCCATTGGCTTTGCGTACAAAAAATAGAGAAAAGGAGCTGTGGAGACTCACTATTCGAGCATTAGCACTTAACTGGACAAACAGAACATGATTATCCCATTGTTTGTTGTAATCATCTAATATGTAGTTTTGACATGGTTTTCAGCAACACCATCGCCTCGGGGGTGGTAAGGAGTGATTAACCTATGACCAATAAATAACTGTGAAGTAATGATGCGCAGTAGCTCATTGATAAACTCTTTGCCGTTTTTGGACTGAATGGTGCGAGGGAAACCGATGTCTGTAAATCGCATAAACAACGCCGTAGCAATTGCAAGAGCACATTTATCAGGTATTACATCAAGTAATATAAAACGAGTACAGACGTCAACGATAATTAACATATAAGAGTTATTCTTCTCAGATATTGTGAGTGGCCCAGCTATGTCGATAGTAACATGTTCTCCTGGTAATTGGGCATGAATGACTTTCAATGGATGGTAACCCTTTTTGGAAATATTCATACGTTGGCATGGTTAGCATCGTTTGATGAAGTCAGTAGTCTCTTGCTATATGCGGGCGCTAATGTGGCACATCGCATGAGCGCGATACATAACATCTTGCCGTTTTTCTTCGGGTACAATGTTTCGTTGATTGTTGGAATCTTGAATAGCATGAATGTATGCTAACATAGGTTCAGTATGCACATCTAATGATTGTTGCCTTAAAGTCATGCACGCGGGGAACAGGCCTGATAGAGCGTCAGAGTAGTACGTCCTGCTAATTAGTCATCATAGCATTCATATCCGGTTGGGAATAAATAAACATTAATGCACGATGATCCGTGTACAGATCAAAGTGCCTACCCCACAAATAATAATGAAATTTGTTGAGAGCAAAAACGATGGCTAACAATTCTTTTTTCGTTGCACTGTATTTTCGTTTACTTTGATGGAACGATCTGGCCATGAGGGAAATATAATTTATATTTTTTGGATAAGATATGTCACGAAGCAGTTGATATAGTGTCGCACCAATTCCGACATCAGAAGCATCAGTTGCCACATAGAATGGTAGATTAAAGTCGGGAAAGGATAATACAGTTGCATGAGTAGCAGACGTTTTAAGGCGTTGAAAGATTGTAATTGGTCGTCATTCAGTGTGAAAATATCTGTTCGACATCCTAGAGCATCCAAAGGTGCAGCAACTTCACTAATGAATGGTATATATTCGTGAAAGAAGTTGAATGTGCCTAAGTACGATTGAATTTGTTTGGCAGTAGTTAGTTCCCAATCGTCGATATTTGCGAATTTAGAGGGGTCAACACTTTTACCGTGCAGGCCTATTATGAAGCCGAGCAATGAGATTTGTGTACTATAGAAATTACATTTACTACTGTTGATGATTAACTTAGTATCATTGAGCCGAGTGATCACAGTGCGTACATGTTCGATATGTTCTTTGTTCTTTGAAAAAATAACAATACCGTCAAGGAGCTGTAGACAAAAGGAAGATCACCAAGAATGCGAATCCCTCGTTGAAATAGACCGGACAATAGCTTCAGGCCAAAAGGCGCCTAACACCTGAAACAGGGGAGATATCTTTGTTGTATTTAAGAATAAAGCCTTTATGGACACATGTAACACTTGCGCCTGTATCAACCAAGGCTTCGTATTTTTTTCCTTCGAAATTAACAAAAACCATGATCCTTTTGTCAGCCCTCTTTTGATTAAGATGGAGCTGCGCCAAGGTATGGGTGTCACCGTTAGGAGTAACATTCGAGGAAGATAAAGACGAAGCTTTTATATGAGAAGGTAAGTGTGTAAATTCAGAATCGAGAGCAGCAGTGACACATTGATCATGCCATAGTAATATTCTGGGATCGATTCTTTCCATAGAGATTCTAGGCTGAGTGCCAAAAATCATCAATGGTGGTTTCAAAAGAAATGGACCTCGATATGTTTAAGCATCATGATATAAAGCTAGTAAATTTTTGGGATGCACTGAATTTTCTGCATTTCTATTATTATATTCTTTTAAATGAGCTCTACTTGGGTTAACGATTAGCCGAGGCGGGCTTATTGGAGTTGTGTATCAACAGCAGAGGCAGGCAAGTTGTTATTAATGACTGTTTGCTGGTGCAATGAATGGTTATTATTCAATTTAGGAAAATTCTTACCAGATCTATTGATGTGCCTGGTGCATTCGGACGCCAGATGTCCTCGTGCATTGGACTTTAGACATTACCTTTGTCCTTCCATGCTGCGGGAGAAATTTTTGCCATATTGTTAGCAGCCATAGAGGGGCTTTGTTTTGGCCTCCTTATTTGGGCTTTGCCCTTCGGATTGAACCATTTGTGGTTAGGTGCTCGTGCACGGCGCATTGAGTGTGTTTCACGGCGGTGAGGTGACGGATTGTCATTTCCGGCGGTCTCTTGTGGGAAATGAGGGCCAGTGAGGCCTCCCAAAATCCTCGTGAACTCGGAGATCGACTTAAAGGCGAGCACAGGTTCTTGCTTTAGGACTTGTAACCTGGTGATCATGATATCGAGCATGAATTCCTTTACTGTGGCCGTCAGGAGGGATATAAGTATCTCACTGTCATCGCTGATACCAGATGCACGCACGTCTCGGTCCACACGCATGGCGAACTGATGGTATGGCTCGCGTGCACCTCGGCCAATTTCAAGAAGTTTCTTGAACTGCGACAAACGTTCTTGTTCTGTGAGGGCAATCTTGAGGAGGGTCGCCTCACATTTCTCCCATGCCTTTTGGTCTTCAGGGACGGGGCTATTATCGTTTTTAGGCCTTTTAAGCTAGAGAGGAGTGGAAAGTGATTCCAATTCTTGTAAAGATTCCAGGAAGTCTTCAGCTCTTTTTTCGAGTACCTTGATCTCCTTGACAACTACGGCCAGGGCTTCCTCGATGTTCTCTTCGGGCCTGTTCGCACCGTTTTGTGCTAACAAACGTGTGAGATGCGCTTTTCGGGTGACGAGTTCTTTCCTCTTTTGATTGATATCCATAAGGATCTGATCATCACTTCGTGAATCAATCGAGCCGGGGACAGGTTCTTCGAGCGGGATATCCATGTTCATGTCTTTACCATGCAGGGAGCCTTGCGGGCGATCCATCCTCATGGAAGGGATGTGTATACAAATTTTCACTTAAAAAAATGAAAAATTTTACAGACAAGAAGTAACAGGGGAGCAGATATAAGTGAGAATAAGATGTGGGAACACACATCACATCCATGGAGTATTTATTCAAAATCGTATCTAAGTATAACTACAAGTTTGTCTAAGGGCGCCATACATAGAGTAACCATGGTGCAAACGTGAATTACTACGCCCCCACTAAGCTCGCACTGCGCCCCTCGGTTGTTACTATTTACACATGGGGGGTGTTTTTATGATACACAACCGTTTGTATACAGCGTTTTTAATTGTTTTATCCATTTTAAAAAAACATTTATCCATTTTCAATTTGCATTGCTCCGATGGGAAATAAGCTTTATCCATTTTCAATTTGCATTGCTCCGATGGGAAATAAGCTTTATCCATTCAAGCTAATAAAATTATCCTATAAGTTATCCGAATGTGTCTGAAATACTATCCATTTTTTCAAACATAATAACCGAACCGACTGTCACAGGTATCCAAACACCATGTCCTTTCCATGTCCCACAAAAGTCATGGTTAATTCCGCATGACCACTTGGACAAAATTTGCAAACACTTGGATAAATTTCTCAGCCCTTTTCGGCCAACTTTTTAACTTACCTTTGGATAAATTTTTTTATTCATTGGAGCAATTTTAAAAAAAAACCGATAAAGTTTATTTTAAAATGGATAAAACAATTAAAAAACGCTGTATTATATTTTTACATGAGCATTAATTTCAATTTTTCATGTAACATGCGTTCTCTGAAATATGTCACACTGCGTACCAAAAATAAAAATGTTATTTTTTTTCCACAGACAATCAAGCATGCACCGATTCTAAGCATCCACAATAAAGATACATTGATACTAAAAACGTACCCCCACAAATCCTATGTAGCAAAAGTGGAAAGAAGGA